CTGTCAATAAACAAAATCCTGAGGAGAAATGGAAGATTAACCTTCAAAAGATTGAGTGGTTGATCCCNCGAGAATCTTCCACCTTAACACTGTCGGGGACCTCTTCTATTCTAGAAGCGAATTATTTTCCTCCCATTGAATTATCCCACAATGATCACTATAGTGTGGCTCTTGTTGAATTATTGACATTCAATTCAATTCCAAATATTACAGAAAAGAATAATAAGTTCTACTACTCTGATAATGAGAATAGGGAGTATACAATCAGCATTCTCCAAGGTAGTTATGAGATTGAAGATATTCAAAATTATTTGCAGAAGGTTCTGCAGANTGCTCAATTTCATCGTGAAAGACACCCATTACAATGGGTTTTCGTACATGGGAATTGTATGAGTATCCTCTCCTCCCAGCTACCTCGAAGCATGTTTGGGTCTTGAAGACATCATCTCAATTGGAGAAACCAAGATACGTTATTCTTGGATTCNTAGTTAGGATTCTTAACGTGAATTCTATGTGTGTGGAGTGTAATATCACTGGAGGCGCGTATATTAATGGGAAGAAAACTCACATCATTCACGAATTTTTTCCTACTGTGCCTCCAGGATATAAGGTCATTGAAGTGCCGAAGAATCTCATTTACCTTCCGATCGTGGTCCAAGCAATAGATCATCTTCAGCTGAAATTGATGGATCAGGACGGTGAATTGTTGAACTTCCAAGGAGAATTAATTACAATAAGACTTCACATTAAACGTACCTAATGGGTATCGTTTTCCAAACGAAGATCGTGAAGAGTTATAAAAGGGAGTCATCTCCCCAAAGGACTAGCAGTCATCAAAGACCCATCAAACCGTTAACACGTGAGAGTATTCAATTCTTCAACAGTTTAAACTTGAGACCTCGAGTGTAAATCCAATCATAGATAGGAAAAAATAATATATTATGGAGGACATCTTGAAGATTCAAAAATCTATCGTCTTCGATGAGTCAGTTTCTCACTATGAGATGCATACCCATCAACCCTTTGCTTCATCAAGCTACTGTAATAATGATGTAATTTCAATTACTGTGCAACATCAAGATTTATGTTTATTCCCCAGTAAGAGTCATCTGCATATTAATGGTCGATTAACCAAAGATAATGGAACAACACTAACCGAGAGAACAAGACTCGTGAGTAACGCTATCTGTCATCTGTTTGAGGAAGTGCGATATGAGCTCAATGAAGTGGAGATTGATCGAGCGAAAAATGTGGGTTTAACGAGTCTCATGAAAAATTATGTTTCTCAGAGTCCTAACCAGTGGTTTTTGATGGAGAATGCTGGTTGGCTCAAGAATGATAGTATGGACAGTAATGAGACAATCACTGATGATGCAGGATATTTCGACATCTCTATACCATTAAGTCTTCTACTTGGCTTCGCCGAAGATTATCAGAAGATTATTGTGAATGCGAAACATGAACTCATTATTACGAGATCGAAAACGGACATCAGTGCAGTACTTCAGAGGGCTGTCAATAAACAAAATCCTGAGGAGAAATGGAAGATTAACCTTCAAAAGATTGAGTGGTTGATCCCCTATGTTAAAGTGTCAGACGAGCGCAAGGTGAAGCTGCTCAATTTCATCGTGAAAGACACCCATTACAATGGGTTTTCGTACATGGGAATTGTATGAGTATCCTCTCCTCCCAGCTACCTCGAAGCATGTTTGGGTCTTGAAGACATCATCTCAATTGGAGAAACCAAGATACGTTATTCTTGGATTCGAAACGAGTCGGAAAAACATCCAGACAGCCAATGCGAGCCACTTCGATCATTGCAGTATCCGAGATGTAAAGCTTTTCCTCAACTCTGAAAGCTATCCATATGGCAATTTGAATTTGGATATTGCCCTCAATCAGTATTCAACCCTATACAAAATGTATGTGAACTTCCAAGAGTCTTACTACGGAAAGGAAGCTGAGCCGTTATTGAATAGAGAGAAATTTTTNGAAACGAGTCGGAAAAACATCCAGACAGCCAATGCGAGCCACTTCGATCATTGCAGTATCCGAGATGTAAAGCTTTTCCTCAACTCTGAAAGCTATCCATATGGCAATTTGAATTTGGATATTGCCCTCAATCAGTATTCAACCCTATACAAAATGTATGTGAACTTCCAAGAGTCTTACTACGGAAAGGAAGCTGAGCCGTTATTGAATAGAGAGAAATTTTTAACAGACGCGCCATTAATTGTAATCGATTGTTCCAAGCAGAATGAGTATTTGAAAACCGGACCAGTTGATATTCGTCTCGAATTTGAATCATCTATTCCTTTCGCACCCAACACATCAGCGTACTGTCTCCATGATCGAATTGTTGAATACAATCCTATCAGTGGAGGAGTTAAGAAACTACTGTAAATATAGGAGGTTGTGGAGCTGTAGACGATGGAGGATATAAAAATAAATAAATACATCAAGATAATCATGTATATTAAAAGATGAATATATAATTTTTTTTTATTAAAAAAAAATCCATTGTCTCATTATTCTACACACCTTCTTCTCATCAACATAATAATAAGACTAATAATAATGGAAATAACTTAGAACTATGTGAAACGAGTTTAAAAAATAATTAGTCTATATGCACACCCCCACCAGGGAATATGGGTACCCCCACCGCACGCGAAACGATGAGTCATCAGCATAGTAAACGTTCCGAGTAGAAATTATGGGAAACCCCCACCACGCGCGCGATTCGATGAGTCATCGGCATGGCCAGCAGTCTGAGTGACTCATCGATGACGTCATCTTCGAGAATATTCGATGACCGTGCTTCTGAGTGACTCAGCGATGACGTCATCCTCGAGAACATTCGATGACCATGCTGCCGCCTAGGGGCGGGCGCTGGAAGCTTGATCCAGAACCTGCCCTGTTTAACTACTAAATACGCTTCTGCCAAATTATTCTCTGTCGAATTATCCTTTCTTGAGTCACCCACATCATCATCTTCGAGTATAGAATGGAATTCATCGTCATCATATTCACGATCGCTATCAACGTCATTCTTTATTGTTGGAAAAGTCGATGATAAAATTTGCTGGGCCAACAATCGAATTTGAGGATTCAGTTGACGATCTTTTTGTTTTCTTTTCCTCGATATTTTAGATTTCGGTAGTTTGCTCAACGAGTTTCTGTAATGGTGTAACCATCGGCTTGAAAGCTTCATTGAGGCCCTTCTCAGTATCATCCTTTCCTAACTTTATAAGTTTATGTTTCTCTCGAATTGCTTCACTTGCATTAGCGATTTGTTGAAGCATATGTTTATCTTTGTTCAACGTACAAGTCGACATGTTGAAGTTCAAGACACAACTGTTACGAATATTGAGTGTCTCAGATATTTATGAAACAATCAAATCCTCTCCGATAACGTCCATCATTAATTTGTGTATCCTTCTCTATCACTAGGAAACTGTATTTATCAATATTCCAACAGGATGAACATAAGCTTTTGAATTGATTATAAGTCATGTCTGTATTCACATGATCTTCATAGATGTATTTCAGGTTCATACCATCCTGCTTAAATAATATCAATAAATTCGTATTATCACGCACAAGATGTTTTGAGATCCTTGTATACGTTTGACAGAGATAGAAGCAATCGACATCTCGATTTCGCCCCATACAGAAAAAGGCTCGCATGTTATTTTGTTTCTCACATGCTACGTCATCAAAGATGAAGATCGAATTGGACCGCGCATCGTCAGGTTTTATCACTCCTTCATGCTTGTTGAATGGAAAATATCCAATTGTATTGGTTAATCCTAAAACTTTCTTTAGGAACTCATATTTTGGTTGGTTGAGGGATTTTGAATACATATAAACATTTTCAAGTCTCAAAGCATTGGGGTGTGTAATGAGAGCCAATAATGCATTTGTCTTTCCGCAATTAGAAGGTCCGCAAAGAATTGCACGCACTGTATTAGGCAATAATTCTCTATCACGTTCTCTTTGTATTTTATTAGTATCATGCTGAACAATTTTATCAAAATTCAAAATTGCTAACTTAACTTTTTGTTCTGTGAATTTCATCATCATCGATCAGTGTTACGCATGACTTCCAGATTTGAACTGGAATGAAAATGTATAAATAGTGGGTATTTATACTTTTCATATTCAGTCGAACAGATGCTATGAAAGTGTATAGACGCAAGAGAAGTGGTAAAGGATTAATCAACAGGTTCATCAACAAATTGCCAATTGAACTCCATATTTCCGGTTATCAATATTGTGGGCCAAGTACAAAGTTAGCTAAAAGATTAGCTCGCGGTGATCCTGGTATTAATCCTTTAGATAAAGCTTGTGAAGAGCACGATATTGCATATTCGAAAAATCGAGACAGTCTTTCAGCTAGACGCTGATAGGACATTAGAGGAAGCAGCTTGGGGTCGTGTATTATCAAAAGACGCAGGTTTAGGTGAGAAAGCTGCTCCACGGGCGGTAGCTAATACTATGAAAGCTCAAACAAAGCTGGGAGTTGGATTAAAAAAGCAGAGGAAGCGGATCACAAAAAAACGTGGAAAAAGTCTCGTGAAGAAGAAGAAAACATGTGGTCGTGGTGTTGCTCAGAAAAAAGTACCTTTGAGGCAGATAATCCGGACGGCAAAACAGATGATGCGCCCCGAAGACACAGTCAAATCGGCTCTTCAAGCAGCACGAGATGCTGTCCGAAAAGCTGGAGGAAAGCGTTTCATCAAATCACCGCGAATATTACCAGTTCCCGGAAAAATTGGAGGAATTTTACCGTTTTTGATTCCATTATTTGCTGGCCTAATTGCCACGGTAGCTTTAGCTGGAGGCGCCGCAGGCATCGCGAAAGCGATAAATGATGCGAATGCAGTTAAGCATTATCTTCAGGAGACAAAACGTCATAACTAATCAATGGAGGCTATTGCAATGGGCAATAGCTTATATTTGAAGCCATACCCTGGAGATCAAAGAACGACGGTACAATGACGGTATAACGTCGTTGTTGCGTCGTTGATTTTTATTGTCGATTTTGGGGCTAGAAAAGNAAGTGGAGATTGATCGAGCGAAAAATGTGGGTTTAACGAGTCTCATGAAAAGCTATGTTTCTCAGAGCTCTAACCAATGGTTTCTACTGGAGAATGCTGGTTGGCTTAAGAATGATAGTATGGATANATGGGAATTGCATCGGATAAATTTTCGTATAATTAACTTTAGATAATAATTATTATATTCCCATTGTTTTAATTTATTTTATAACGTGTTTATTAAGGGGGGGCATGATAATACAGAGTTGCAAATTCTAGCCAAGGGGAGGGGATTTCAAAATCTATTTGAGCCACCCCCCATCCCGCCGTTCGCATGCGTTAATTCAATAATTTAAAAAATTTCGTTAATCAAGATTTCACGAGGGGGTGAAAGGGGGAGATACAACGGCTGACGACCGCAAATTTTACATAACAAGGGGAGGGGGTTTCGGAATCTAGCTGAGCCACCCCCATCCCTCCGTTAGCATGTGTTGATTGAATAAAAAAAGTTGTTAAATAAAAAATCAAAATCTCGAAAATTGAGTCTTTGCGCGGGGGGGCGGGAAGTGGGAAATACAACGGCGAAGGGTTGCAAATTTTAGCCAACTAGGGGAGGGGATTGTCGAATCTGACTGAGCCACTCCCATGCGTTGATTAAATGAAAAAAAATGTTAAATAAATAATGAAAATCGCGAAAATTAATATTTTACGAGGGGGTGCAGGGAGAGCTAGGGGAGGGTGGGGCAAAATGGCCCCCCTTCAATTGTCAATAACTTGTGAATGACATTGTGAAAATTCCCAGTTTCAACTTCATTTTGAAGATAATTTTTCATTCTTCAAAACGAGCTCTAACTCATCCCAATCGGATTATTGAATCGGAAAATATTGACGATTGAAGGGGGGCCGTTTTGCCCCATCCTCCCCTATAATGGCGGAGGGTTGCAAAATTCACTCAAAAAGGGGAGGGGGTTTCGAAATCTATCTGAGCCACCCCCATCCATTGATTAAAAAAATTGTTGAAGAAAAATTATCAACAGAAATCGTTAAATAAACAATGAAAATTGCGAAAATTGATAATTTAAGAGGGGGTGCAAGGGGGAGGTATGATGGCGGACGGCTGCAAATTGTACTCAATAAGGTGAGGGGGCTCCCAAATCTGTGCCACCTCCATGCATTTATTTTAAAAAAAATTTTTTTAATCGTAATAAAAATGGGTAAATAAACAATGCAAATCGCGAAAATTGAGAATTTACGAGGGGGTGTAGGGGGAGATATGATGGCGAAGGGTTGCAAAATTTACTTAAAAAGGGGAGGGGGTTTCAGAATCTATCTGAGCCACCCAAAACAAAAAAGTTATGATGAACCTCTAAAAACTCATAGTTATTATATGAAATATCTGAATGACACAAAGAATTTTCCCCTTCCGTCAAAACTAGAATATTGCTCATAACGACAGTTAGCTTGCCTTGGATAAAAGTTCCTTTCTTCGTTTCGAAAGCTTATTTTTGTACTTATGTGATCTATTAAACGATGTTACATGGAAAAAACACTGGACTCATTTGTCTCATTGAAACATGAAGCAAAACAGAGAGGTCTCATTTTGCCCCGCTGCCAATTTTGCCCCGGGGTCTCATTTTGCCCCGGCCTCCCCTACTCTTTTATAACATTTTTTCCTAACTTCAACGGTTAACGAAATAATTTGATGCAAATTAGGAAAACCAGCCCCAATTCCCATCCAACGTGATATGAAATCCAAGTTATCTTGGTCAATTTTTCAATTGTCAAATTTTGAAGGAATGCATCTTCTAGACCGTTTTGTGATCAATAATTTTCATCATTAACTTTTTTCTCTTATCCGATTATTTACGACAATATTTAAACGAAAACACGGCGAGTACTGCCGACAACGTCACTAACAACATCACCCACAATGTCCGATATATACCACTTTTAGATACATTGAATTTAATCATTGACTTTATGTTTTTTTGGATCCCTGAATACGAAGATGTTAACCATTTTTTGTAATTCCGGCCATAAGGCAGCGTTTCACGGACGCTCCGCGTCCGCGAATCTCTGCCTACGGCCGTCATGATATAAAATATTGTTCGTCATACGGCCAAAAAAACAATTTTCTGACAAATATTTCTGACCCTTATTCGGACTTCATTTCGACCCTTCTAGTGAGGTTTATAAAACCATAGGTTGCGAGGGGTACAACCAAGGTTCACACGTGTCGAAACTAAAGATGATGGTCACGAGGGTCGAAAATAAGGAACATACTGGTCACGGCTATGGTTTATGAGAGTCGAAATTCAGGGTTATGAGGGTGAAAAGTGTAGGTAAGAAATAAAGTCCAGAAATGCAGGTCAGAAGTGAGTATCATATTCAAACCTATTCGGAAGCCTATTGCTAATTTATCAGCAAAACAGGCGCAACAGTTGATAACATAGAAAATAAATATTGACTGATTTTTTTTTCATACCCTCTCACCACACATTCATGCATTTCTGAGTAAATTGAGAAAAAGAAACAATAATAAGATAATGTCCTAGGTTTGAAACCACGTCGCACGAATGGGAGCATTCTAGAAAGGGCTTCGTCTCATGTGATATATGAATATTTAACGCACATGAATAGATTTATCTATCCATACGTCCCTTGAATCAGTTAATTACGTCGTGTAAACGGAAGAATCCAACTGTAAAAACACTGTAAAAACTCCGGTCTTACGAACGGTCTGAAACTAAGACTTAAGACAGGAAGTCCGATAAACGGTCTTAAGATCAGTTTAATTGCCGATCTTAACATAAGATCTTACGAAATTTAACCCGTCAGTAGGCGCGCTAAGAGCGATTCCCTCCCAAAAATTTTTACTTCATAAGAAATATACACTAAATGTGAAAATATTTGGCTAAATTTTTTTTATATGCCACAAGTAACTCTTCTAGTTCACTCTTGCTAAAAGTTGTCTATCGATCAGGGTTGAGTAGAAAAAAAGAATTTTCTTCCGCTCGGCCAAAATTTTCCACATGTTACGGATATGGGACTCGTGACGCTGAACCCCGGATAGCGCCGCCTGTGGCGATATTTGCCTCTATTCTTACGAGAAGCCGATGAGCGATTCCCTCATCGGGCGCTTCGGGAATGCGGGTGGAACGTTAAGATCGTTCATGAGTCCCGTTCCGATCTTAAATTTTGAGATGGCAACTTCAAGGTTGAAAACGGGTCTGATTTAAAAATCTCTAGGTAGGTTTAAGTTCGGTAAGATGAAAGATCGGTTGACAATATAAAATTGATGCAGCGATTAAAATCGAAAATGTAAGACCATTTTAGAGTCTTAGCTGAAACTATACTAATGAATCGATAAATTAAGTCATTCATTAATTTGTCGATAGATAAATTTGCTTAAGAATTAAATTAATGGCTTATTGAGTTGATAATTCAATAAACAATAAATTTTTCCCCTTGTGATCCTTACATTTCTACCCCTAGGTTGTAATACTATCGAACGGGCGCTTCGCGTCCATCGCTAGATTTATGTATACTATTTCATTTTATTTTATTTTCTTTCTGATTCTGTTTTCATGATTAGATTAATTCAAATTGATTCGTCCTGTACTTATTATATGTATGTGTATATTTTCCTTAATTTACAAGTTCAAAAATTGAATGAAGAGGAAATGAGGGTAAAAATCTAGGAGTCAAAAGGTATGGGAAAAAATATGAGGATCAGAAGGATCAACATCTAAGGGTCAGATTGTAAGAGTCCGAATATGAGGATCAGAAAGTGTTAGAGTTGAACCCGCCTCCTCCCTCGCGGCCCTAATATATTTTTTTTATTCAATCAACGCATGCTAACGGAGGGATGGGGAGTGGCTCAAATATATTCTGGAATCCTCTCCCCTCTTTGCGTAAAATTTGCAACCCTCCACCATCATACTTTCCACTTCCACCCCCTGGTGCAATTTCAACTAACAAGATTTTTATTTTTTATTCTGCAATTTTTGAATTTATTTAAAAAACAGATGAGAACGGAGGGATGGGGGTGGCTCAGAAAGTTTCTGAAACCCCCTACCCTTGTTGGGTAAAATTTGCAACCCTGCGCCATCGCACCTCTCCCTTCCACCCCCTCGCAAAGTCTCAATTGCCGCGATTTTCATTGTTTATTTTTTAAAAACACTTTTTTAAATCAACGCATGGAGGTGGCTCAGTCAGATTCGGGAACCCTCTCTCCTTGTTGGATAAAATTGGTAACATTCCGTCGTCGTACCTCCCCCTTCCACCCCCTCGTGAAATTTTAATTGACGAAATGTTCATTCTCAATTCAAGAACTTTTTTAATTATGTAATTAATCGATGCGAACGTAGGGATGGGGGGTGGCTCAGATAGATTCTGGAACCCCCTCCTCCTGTTGAGTAAAATTTGCAACCCTGTGCCATCATACCTCTCCCTTCCACCTTCTCGTGAAATTTCAATTACCAACGATTTTTGTTTTTTATTCAAAAAATTTTAATTTGATTTAAATAGCGCATGCGAACAGAGGGATGGGGGCTAGCTCAGTGAGTTTGAGGATCCCCTTCCCTTGTTGGGTAAAATTTGCAACCCTCCCTCATCATACCTCCCGCTTCTAGCCCCTCGTAAATTCTCAATTTACGCGATTTTCATTGTTTACTTGAGAATTTTTTTTACGATTTTTTCAAGACTTTTTTTTAAATAAACGCATGAGGGTGGCTCAGTCAGATTTGGAAGCCCCCCCCCCTTGTTGGGTAAAATTTGCAACCCTTTGTCGTCGTACCTCTCCCTTCCACCCCCTCATGAAAGCTTAATTAATAGTTGGTAAAATTTGCAACCCTCCGTCATCGTACCTTTCCCTTCCGCCCCCTCGCAAAATCTCAATTTGCGAGATTTTCTTTTTCTATTAAAATTTTTTTTTGTTCAATCAACGCATGCTAACGGAGGGA